GGACAAAGAGAGTCCTCTCTAGATCAGCAAGCCAAACTTGAAAGCAGTCAATTTGCTATTGTATTGGCTACTCCACAGGTCACAAAGGCAAACACAGGGCACAAGTTACACAAATGCAGTCCACAAGGACTTCTGCATTGCTAATGATGAGAACATCTCTATGGGGGTGTTTATCTGATTAGAACAAACATTGTGTTAGCACCTGAAAGTTGACAATCTTCATTCACATGCCCTTTATTGCTTCCAGAGTGATTTGGTGGCTGTGGTCTTGAGCACTAAGCTTTCCTATTGATCTAAATCACCCAGTGGAATCCCAGAGAGTCTCTGGTTCCTGTTTCCAGCTGTTCCTCAAGTCAGTCTTTGTGGGACAGGAGCCCTCTTACCAGGGGCACTTTCTTACTTCACCACCTAGGTGTCCCCGCTCCTAAGCCTCTCATGTGTTTCTAGTGCACTGTGTCTCGTCAATGATATTTTCTAATTTCAAGTCTTTTCTGCAATCAAATGACCTGATGTTTTTGGAAAATTTAATGCATTAGGGGTATGTTTGTAAACTCACAGACTTAAGAGGGGTGTGTGTGGTTGTGCATGAAACTCAATTGCACTTCAGCTTCCCTGATGAAGCACATTAGAGCATTTCATTTTAAAAGCTGTGTTCCTTGACTGTGCTCAGAAACTGGTGATTTAGATATGGTATTTTGTTTTGTTTTTTGTTTTTGTTTTATCTTTATGTGCACGGGTACATTCTGTATGTGGGTATGTGCACATGAGTGCAGTTTCCTAAGGAGCCAGAGGAGGGCATGGGGTTCTTTGGAGCTGTAGTTACAACTGGTTGTGAGCTGCATGACACTGTTGCTGGAGCCAAGCTTAGGGACCTCTTCCAAATGTACTAAACTCTCTTAACTAACCACTGAGCCAACTCTCTAGCACCACAGAGACATATTTTAAATCATCCTTCAATGCTAAGGACAAGACAGACATAAAAAACTCATTGTGTGTCACTGGAGAGAAAAGGATCTTCTTATTCCAACAAAGATATCTTGAAAGAGTGAATGCAAATAAATGAAACACATGTAAATCGAGGAAGCACATACCCTAAACAAGCCAAATAAACACACTGGCATGAAATGATTTAACAGCTCTTGGGGGAGGATGTCCTCAGAATGCTAAGTGTTAATTAAAGCAAACCAGACAATGTTTTATTAAACAGTAAGGAGGGCTTCCAAACCATACACGGAATGTTCCTTGTTAAGACAGAAGCAGAGGCGAAGGGCTGGGTACTGACAAGTATAGAGTAATATACGTTTAAATTATTTACATGCAATATGATGAACTTCCATAGCATAAGACTTAATCAATCTCATGTCTCCTTCTGGCTGACTTCTAGCCCTCCCCACATGAACTGTATCTACCCAAGACAACCAGAAAATGCCATGGTCCTACTTAAGATTCTCAAGTAGTCAAAACTAGAAATTTGTTATTTTACCTCCTTTGAATAAATGAATTTTTAAATCAAAGTTTAAATAACAAAAATCTCCCCTGAACACATAATTAATTCTTTCTCATCTGCTCCAAAGTAACACAACTCCATTAACAAAAGTAAAAGAACAGTAGCCAATAACAGCATGTCCTTTGCCAGGAACTACGCCAATCTTATGTAATTTGCGCAACTTCTCACTAAAGTGAGTTTCCCGATTGTGCCCATTTTGCAATCAGTTAACTGAACTCTGTGTGCTGCTAGCCTGGAACCCATCTATCATCGCTTTCTGAAATGCCTATGAGGTTTTCCATCTACACGGAGATTTGTGGGAAAACACAGAGCTTCACTGTTTTGGGTTCATTTCTAAAAATTTGAAATGGCATCACAGTATACAGAGCAATGCTGAAACTGGCATGATTTTCCCCGTAACTGCTCCAACTCACTCTTTCTAATTGCTGCTAGGGTGACGTAACTACTGTTCTCTTACTTACAGGAAGAAAATTCCTTGTTCAATTTTTTTTAACCAACAAAAATAGTACTATGGGTGAACGTCTTGTGCAAGCTTCCCTGTGCACCTGGAGAGCTGCCCACTGCACACAGGCTGTGGCAGCGCTGGTCTACGAACAGGCATGTGGCAGCGCTGGTCCACAGATAGGCATGTTTAAACTTTCACAGACACCAACCACCACACTGTCCTCTGAGAGAGATGCTTATTATTGGTATGTAAACACGTATTTCCCTACAACTATGCCAAAGTCTGATATTATCAAACTTCAAGGTTTTGCAAATCTTATGGGTGAAAAAAAATGGGATCACATTTTAATTTGTATTTTCCTAATTAAAGTATGTCATATTAGGTGATACCACCCCAATTGGTAATTAAGAGTCACTGAGTCAAATCAGGGGCCATATAAAATGTATACGTACACTAAACATATTATCTTATTCTTAAAATACCAAGATGCACATTTCTTTGCCCACCCTTTGTCACCAGAACATGGCGTCTCCTTTCTCTGAGGGACAGTGAGCGAGGACCTCTTTCACTGACCGTGTCCTCAAAGCACAGCTGTGATTCCTGTTTGGTTTCTTAAGTGAAGTGAGAAAGGAAAGACCTTGTAAGAGTCTGAATGCAGAAGTCAATTAAACAGCGAGCTTTTAATAATCTGCCTTTATCGGAACTTTTCAAAGTGTTCCATTTAAATTTCACTGTTAACAGCTCTCTCCATGCTGGTATTTCTCTGGTTTGCGTATTATTTAACTAAATTACATAATTACAATGACATTTAACCAGCACAGACCGGTTTGAGAATCAGCACACCTCTGGCTCTTGGAAATACAAAATCAAATGAAATAAAAAGCACAAGTATTTTTAGAGAGCCAGGCAAGCATGGCTGGGAGGACAGTACCCTTCCGGAACATAAGGAAAACTGGTGTCTCTGAGAGAGTGTGCGGATGGAGAACAACTTCCGTATGACGATGACCTCGTAAGGTTTACTGTAAGCCATTTGGTCTATACACTTATCTATTCTTCCAACAGGTCAATCCCTTTTCTTGCTTATTTAGAGGTATATTTTATGTATCTGAGATAGGAGTCCTTTCACTGATTATGATCACAAATGTTTTTCCTCCGGGTTCTTACTTATCCTTTACCTATGTCTTGTCCTTATCGACTACTTAGATCTTGCAACTATTCTGTTTTACGAAAATATTTCACTTTAATGTCAGGAAAAAAAAATTCCCTCTTTACAGATTTTGTTATCTTTGCCTTCATTAAGCAAGGGTCCCTTCACAAAGACCTTAAATAGTTAAAAAAAAAAAAGTGGAATACGTAGATGCAAACAATGCTAGAAATCAGAATATACTTCTGTCTGTGAATTTACAGGCTATCAATGCATGGACACCATGGAAACTGACATGACCGAAAGGCTCAAGACTGAAGAGCTTCAGCATCTCCTGAGCAACGACTGGGTACGTATACTGCTGAGACCAGACACCGACTTAGAAACTAACATAACAGAAAACACTTTTCCCTCTGGAAAGCAGCCTGCTCAATCAGAATCAAAGACATCTATCTCCTCCCCATTCCTATGCAAAAGTCTGCACATTGGAAAACTGCCATTGGCAGTATGGCCCCTGAGCATCTGGCCAAATAAAGGAGCGGGGGTTGGTATACATGTCACACCCATCAGTCAGAATGACCAGAAGTCTTTCTCTTCAAGTGCCTGTCTGGTCTGCACAGGTCACTAGTGCCAATTCTGACCACAGAGTTAACTAGAACTTTATCAGAAGAGTCAACGAATAGCAAGGACAACAGGAACGAGCAGGGCTGGAGCGAGCCGGGCTGGGGGTTGGGGGGTTGTGTTGGCCTCAGCAGGATGAGCAGTGAGGGCAACTCCGTCTCCAGCTCCCCAGGATCCAAGAGACTAGCATCATCAAGCAGAGGTACAGAAGGGGAAGCCAAGGCCAGGCTGTCCCAGGCAAGCGTCCTTCCACTGAACAGCTCTTAATTTTCACAATTTAAGATATAAATTATCCACCTGCTGACATTTTACTATTTAGGGCTGTTGTTCACATGTATAGAGAGAATGATGTAAACAAAAAAATATCAACAACGAACAACAATGCCTGTAATATCCCCTAGAATCCGATGGAAAACGGCAGCCATAGTCGTTACTATTGTGTCAATTTCTGTGCCACAGTAGAAGTCACAAAAGCAAGAACAAAACATGCATTAGAAACAATGTCAGCGAGGCAGAAATACTTAACGCTACATAACATTCTGAAAAAATACATCCACTCAACAATATAAGCAAATAATCTAAATATAAAATATAAGCAAAATATAAACAAACCCCATTTGGTACTAATGCAACTGAATAAATGCACTTTCCTAATTACTTTAACCTTTTAAAAGTCAATTAGGATGATAAGTGCCTAAATACTATATAGAGGTGGGTTGCTGGGGAAGACCGTGTGCAGTGATTCGTAACAGAGCAAGAAGCTCTCTAGCTTCCTCTTATTACAATTCTCACAGAACTCAGATGTGTGATGCCTTTAAAACCATGAAGGTGAAGAACAGGATCTTTGGATGGAAACCGACTTTAAAAGTACGTGGTTTTCCTTTGAAAGGCAACCTCCTCATTACACATTTCGAATAATGAAACGTTACTCTTCATCCTGACCTATATCTGTGTTGGGGGCGGGATCCACCTCCAGTACATCTCAATCCTACATTGGGCTTCTTTGTAGTTTTTTTTTTTTTAATTCCCTTCAACTTGACTTTTAGAAACAGTAATAATTTTGCTGTGTTTTCCCAGGAGCATTTCTTATCAGGATTAAAAAGGGACCTATTCTGAGACAAACAGGATACAGGGCAATGGTGCCGCTTCCAGGCAAGCTAAGAATAGCTACAGCGTTTTCAAGAAATCTTGTCCCAGGGTGTGAGCCTCAGTTCCATGTGCGATGCAGGTTTTCTTCCAACAGTCACCACAAGTCATTGATAACAGAGAGCTTCAGTTCTTACCAGGTTTTCTTGGTTCCTGGCTGCTATTTTCTGCTCCTCTTCTGCTCCGTTTTTCATGTATTTGACCTCTTCCACCGGTTTGATTCTATACTCATCTGAATGACAAAAAAAGGGGGGGGGATTTACTACAATGCAGAAAAGTGTCAGCAAAGCCAAAGCTATGTATTAGACCCTTGCTCTTGTAGCCTTTACAGTGGCTCGTCTGGGACAATCTGGAAGAAGCATGCACGGGCATCTTGGGTCCCTCTGAGTAGGTGCCCTGCCTTGTCTGCACCGCAGACCTTATCCAGTGAGCATATACTGGATAAGAAGGAGGCTCTTCCACTGCTGGAAGTCTCTAGAATCCAGACACATGGGAAAACATCACACATCAGGAGACTGGGGAGAATGTCTTCTGTTATCCCTGGAGACTCTCTGTCCCGAGTACCTGGAGCAGAAATTTCAGCTCTATGTTTGCACCTTAGTTTCTCCCCCTCTGAGCAATACGGTACTATTGCTAATGTTTATGACTATAGAGTTGTACTGATGAACAAATAAAACCAACTGGAAATTGAATTTTTTCTTTCTTAGGGCTCTTACATTAAATTCGAACAGTTTGTATGTGTGGGCATCTTGGGTCTCTTTCAGGAGGTGCCCGGCTACTACTATCTAGCCTTTAACCTCTCTAAACTTACATGCACTGAGGCAAGAGACCAACTAGCTCAAAATGGGCTGGCAAGGCTCCAAGGCTGTATAGTGCAGAAGGCTGGAAATGGAATTAGAAAATTTCATCGGCAAACGGCTTTGAAAATGGTATTAACTCACCTCTAAGACAGCTAGCTGTCTATTACTAAGAAGGCTTGTATTTCCGGCTAAGAGGCTGTAACATATTTTCCTACTGTGAGTACAATGTGTATTCCTTCAAATGTCTTGTTTTAGTATTTATAATACAACTTTCTAATGTATTATTAGGTAGGTAGATCTCCATCCTACCTCTAACACAGTATTTCTGAAAAAATAGCTATAGTAACACCCAAGACAGTGTGCTTGTCAAATGCTTCTCTCCTCCTTAAGAAATTAATATATTTGCATATCTGCATATAAGACCCAATGTTTGTGACTAGGCCATTTGTGGTTTTTTTCCCCCCTCTTGCCAATTCAAGGTAGATTTAGACTCTATTCATTTTTTCTTATTCCTATGTTGTGGAATGTTCTTTCACACCATGTGAAGAGGTGTACTGTGATTGGTTTACTAAAAAAGCTAACAATGCTAGGCAGGAGGTGTAGGTGGGACTTCTGGACAGAGAGTGCTCTGGGAAGAAGAAAGGGAGAGTCACCAGTCAGACGTGTTATCACCAGGATGAGCATACTGGAGAAGAGGTGGCAAACAAGCATGTGGAAGAACATAAATATAAAAATATAGGGTAACTTAAGTTTTAAGAGCAAGTTAGAAACCAACCTAAGCTAAGGCCGAGCTGTTGCTATTAATAATAAGGCTGTTGCCTTTTTTGGGGGGGGGGGGGGTTGGAGCGGCCAGCTCAAAGAAAAACCTGCCTACATTTCTAATGCATGTTTGTGCTTGAGTATGGTGTGTACATGTGTTTGGGGTTTATGCGCATACATGTGGAAGCCAGGGGCCAATTTCTGTTGTCTTCCTGTATCTCTCATTGTTTTAGACAGGGTCTCCTGTAGAAACTGAGCTTGGTAATTCAATTAGACTGCCTGACCAGCAAGTCGCAGGGTCACCCCATCTCTGCTTCCCTAGCAGTGCAATTACAGGGGTGAACCCTTTCACCTGGCTTTTTACGCCAGTGCGAGGATTTGAACCCAGGCAAGCACTTTACCAACTGAGCCGTCTCCCCAGCCCCATTTCTACTTCTTTCTAAAGAAATGTGAGAGACTTGTATACAACTACAGTAATGAGCCTTTCAGGAATCCCAAATCCAGAACTATCAAGTTAATAGATGGATCTGAATCTTCAACAAAGTAAACATATTTCACAGCCCATTATGATGACCCACATGCTCACACAATCCCAGAACACAGGAGACTGAAACAGGAAGGTCTTGAATTTGAGACCAGGTTAGGCTACATGATAAGTTTGAGGCCAGTCTAGGCTACATTATAAGTTTGAGACCAGTCTGGGATGCACAGTAAACTCTATTTCAAAATAAAAAAACAAACAAGAGAATATCTTACTCTGATTTGATACTCAGATAAAAAAAAAAGGAAGTTAATGATACCAACATATTAAGTACTGGTTACTCATAAGTTATGAAACCATTGCTGATTTTAAAAGAATAGATATAATTATGTCCCTGGTATAATAATACAGAGATCAAAATACAGGTAAAAACACAAAAACTTAAAAATATAGGCTGCCCAACTTTAGTTTGAGGCATTAGCGTTTATAAATCAAGGCACAATGACATAATCGCTACAGTGTAACTAAACATGCCTACTTAGTTGAGCCTTCAGCTATAAATATAACATATCACAATCTGGATTGTGATAATCTGGATTCTATAATGTTCTACCCAGGACCCCAAACCTCATGGAATCACACCTCATTATAGAACACGAGCAAAGACTTCTGAAAGAGCAGACAGCCCTTTGCACACTGGGGAGATGGGGGAAGTTGATGTAGAAGGTGCCCTAGGAAAATAGCTGTCTGTGGGTGTGGGTGTGGGGAGATTGGTGTGGGACATTGGTCTGTATTCTGTCAATTATATTTTAAATAAACACCGATTGGCCAGTAGCCAGGCAGGAAATATAGGTGGGACAATCAGACAGAAGTAGAGGAGGGTCAAGGAGAACAGAATTCTGGGAAGGAGGAAGCCCATTCCTCTGCAGTCCCAGCCCAGACACAGAAGAAGTAAGATGTGACTGTCTCGCCAAATAATAGGCTAATATAAGTTATAAGAGTTAATAAGAAGCCTGAGCTAATGGGTCAGTCAGTTTATAGTTAATGTAGATCTCTGTGTGATTTCTTTGGGACTTAACGACTGTGGAAACCAGGCAGGATGGAAACCCTGACAACAGGGAATGACACCTGACTCCTGCTCTGAGAACCTGTCTCCTGTTTGGGCATGTGCTTCAACTCAGAGTCTGACAGTATCTCACTGCCACGGCTCACCAAGTGGACCCTAAAATTTGGAACGCTATGCATGAAGTAGACTGGACTGGAGAACTCCCCGAAATCCCTCAAGTCTGGAGTTGGGCAGTTCCTAGCCGTGACTTCTGTAACTGTAGTTGCGTAAAGTGATCTCATCAGCTCAGATGTGATGGTTATTACTGAAAAATTTCTAGGATAGTTATACAAGGCCGGCTCCCAAGAAAGTCCCTAACACAAGGCTTCTGCACAGTCATAGAAAGATTTTGATTTTTTGCCAGTTTATATCAAAAAATCCTGATAAATAAAACTACTTTCAAAATGAAAGCATTTAAGTTTTAATGATTTAAAGATCTCAGTTGTTCAAAAGTAACAAGGAGAATGCTTTTGGACATAAACTTTGTAGAGACTGGGCATGGAAGTGTACTAGGAAAAGTACAGATTGTTCATATTTATAGATGCCTATTAAAACACCACATAACCTAAGTATGTGAATGTCGCTAAGATACAAACCCTTTGTGCCGTTTCCGTGTTTATTAAATAACGAAACCTAATGCTTGTTTATACTTAAATAAAAAGTAAGTAAAATTCCTCGTAGTGGCAATAATGGCCCTAATTTCATGGAACATTGGCTGGGTTGTTATATGGCAGAGTTTCAGATATGGGCCTGTAACAGAATTTATACATGTATATATGCTTTATATAAAATCTAGAATAAATCCAAACACTGACATTCTTTCTCAGGCGAACTATAGAGCAATGACAGACAAGTATGAAAAGACACTGTCACAGAACCACACATGTCCTTCTTCATATGTCACACTGCTAACTTCGTATGTAGTGACCTGGAGGGCCAGACACACAAGCTGATTCTCTAAGCCATTTCGGCTGTTCCCTCTGCAGTTGCTTCTTCCGCTGACCTTACTCACAAATTTATAGGATGCCTGACTAGTAGGGAGTGCATGCCATCTAGGCTGAGCTGACGTCCTCTGAAGCGGATGGCCCTACAGACCATGGAGAATGCTGTGATCGTAGTGAGATGGAGTGCCGCAAAACTGCCATGAGTCCTCTCAATAACCCTATCCTCCGCTGTATCCAACTGAATAGCTTTGTCGTAACTAGGGAAAATTATATGAAATGTCATTATTGCATCATGGGCCATTCACTTCTATCAACTCTAAAAGTTAGGGTAGCAGCTGAGACACCCCTCCCCCCTCCCCCCGCCCACTGTAACAAGCCTACCTGATGTCCCCATCAATGAATTTGTCAAACATTGATTAGTGGCTTTGTTTTGTTCTGTGCCTGAAGAAGTTCAAGCATCCTCTGATCCAGTGGAAAATATCACTCAGGGTAACTTGATTCTTGTGCCACAGTCACGGTCACTCTCGTTTGCTTCAGAATAATCTCTTACTCTTTCGGGAACAGGCATTGTATTCTGCGTCAACACCAGACACTCTGCTTAACTAGTGTGGTTACCTTCTGTTTGGGCAAAGGTACGGTGTGTGTGCGTGTGTAGGTGTGTGTATGCACGCCTGTATGTGTATGTCTGTGAAGAACCAGAATCTAATGACTATGTCCATCTCACTCAATTCTGTTCACTGGTTCCTGACTTAAGTGAACTTCTGGTAGAGGGAAGATTCTCAGATAATCCCGGCAGAACGCAGAGAAGGGCTTGTCTCACTTGTCCAGGTGTTAAGCGCAGATGGGCTACTGAGATCTGTGGTACAGACTGAGCGGGGTAAGGAGGTTGACCCCAGGAACCAGGCCAGTCTGCATGGCACCTGAGCCGCAGGGCTGAAGAGAAGAAAACAGACAGATGTAGGAGAAGCAGGAAGCCCTAAATAGGTTGGTCTAGAGGGAAAGTTGCAGGGCACTCAAGAGAAGAATGAGTTTTGAGGTAGTTCAAAAGAAGAATGGGAACAGGCAATGGCAGAAATTCATGGAGGAATAAGTTTCAATGTGTAGTTCACGAATGAGATGGCTTTTCAGGTCTTAGGGGTCATT